TTGTTACTGGAATTGTAGTCCCACTGACCGTCACAACTGTGACATTAGCCGGCGCCACGACTGTCACTGCATTTGGCGTAACTGCAACATTGGCTGGAGGTGAGTTTGTGGTTGTGTTTGGCGCTATGGTAGCAGTCGTCGTTGCTATGGTTGTACCAGTTGCAGGCGTCGTCTGGTTTGCTTCCGGTGCTGTGACTATTGAAGTTGCTGCGACTGTCACTGTCGGTGAGAGTGTAGTTGCACTTGGTGCTGTTGTTGCGATCGTTGGTGGTATGGTTGCAGGTGTTGTAACTACAGTAACGTTTACCGGAGCTGTAGTTGCAGTTGCAGTGACAACAGGAAGTACAGTTGCATTTGTCACTGTTACGTTAGCTGGTGCTGTTGTAACCGCATTTGTTGCAGCTGTTACAGTTGCAGGCGTTGTGAATGTGGCTGCATTCGTAACTGTTGTTGCAATCCCCGGTGGTGTTGTTGCAGTTGTTGCCGCAACACTTGCATTTCCTAATGGTACTGTTGTTGCAGCGACTGTAACAACTGTCACATTGGCTGGTGCTACGACAGTAACAGCATTTGTTGCAGCTGTCATAGCTACAGTTGATATTGTTGCTGGTGCAGCAGTCACATTCACTGGGATTCCTACTGTAGTTGTTGCAGCCACTGTCACATTTATCATGGGGATCGCAGTGGCAGTTGGTGGTGTCGGTGTAGAAGTTGCAACCGAAGTTGTAGTAGCTGGTGAAAAGGTCACACTAGTGGGTAAGGCTGTCGCTGTAACTGGAGGGACACCGGTTGTTATTATTGTGGGCACTGGCGTTAGCGTCGCATTAGTGACAGCAGTTGTGGCTGCAATGGTGCCTGTGATCGTCACATTTTCTACTTCTGCAATGGTAGGTAGGATTGTTGGTGGCATTATCGTAGTTGTAGAAACAGGGGTCGATAAGACGGTGATGGTGGTTCCGCCATTGGGCGCGGTAGCAGCGGTAGCCATTGTTGCATTGGTTATGGCTACAGTTGCAATCCCTACAGGAGTCGTAATGGGCGGTATTACGGTAGCGTTGGTTACGGTAGTAGCAGCGCTTCTTGTTGTGGTAGTGATAAGCGTTGTACCTGTCCTCGGTACAGCTGTTGTTACTATAGCTGTCCCAGTAGTTATCGCAGGTCCTGCAGTGGTAGCGGTTACAACCCCTATGCCAGTAGTTGGGGCAGTTCCTGCTCTTGTGACTTCAACATCTGTGCTGGTGGTGGTTGATGTTTGTCTATTAGTAGCAGTCTGACCTGCAATTCCAGTAGACGGGGTAGTGGCCGCCGCTGAAGCGGAACCCGTTTCAATACCAGTGACAGGTATGGTCTGTGTTGCAGTCGTTGCAAGAGTGGTAGATGTCCCAGTAATCAGGACTGGAGGTAATGTACTTCTGGTAGTGGTTTCAGCAGCTGGCACCGGTACTCCTCCATTAGCTGAAGGTGTCGTTTCCGTCTCAGTTGTAACTTCTCCACCACCAGGTGAGGGCACAACAGTAGTTCTTGTTATTGATACATCACTGCTTGGATGACAACATTGCGACGGACGAGCAAGGAACCATAGGACGAAAATCTGTAACAATATCAA